CTACAAGACAAGAGTATGAGGCGTCTGTTAAGATCACAGGCCCTCTTGTGCGGCAAATTATCAAGCAAGCCCAAGAGCCACCAGATGAGACGGAAATTAAGACCCTGCAAGCGAATGCACGAAGAGAAAAAGATGAATTGTTAAAGAGGCAGTGTGAGGGGAGTGAGGGAATCCTTGTCTAGCAAAAATGAACGCGCGGTAGAGCTGGCTGCGGAGAAAGGGGCCTCGAATTGGTTGAGAGTGATCCCGATAAAGGAGATGAATTTTAATTTGAACAAAAGAGAATTCAGAGATGCAATTAAATTAAGGTATGACTGGGAGATCGCTGACCTACCTGCCATGTGCACATGTGGGGACTTTTTCACCGTTGATCAATCATGCTATGGTCTGCCGGCATGGTGGGCTGATTATTCAAAGGCACAATGAGATTAGGGATCTAGAAGCGGAAATGTTGCGCATGGTTTGCACTGACGTAGAGACAGAACCAGTTCTTCAGGAAATCACTGGGAAAGAGCTAAACAGAGGCGCAAACAGAGTGCCCGATACTCGACTAGATATCCACGCTCGCGGTTTTTGAGACAGACAACAATCTGCGTTCTTTGATGTTCGGGTGTGTCACCCAAACGCAGATTCGTATCGAGAACTGTCTCCGAAACAGATATTCCAACTACATGAAAATGAGAAGAAGAGGCAATACAGCAGGCCTCTCTCGTAAGTAATAATCTATCAATATTAGATTATTACTTACGAGAGAGGCCTACTGAACCGCACAAATATGTACACTTAGTCCCCATGGACTTAACAAAAGACGCGAATTCAGATCCAAAAATCGCGTCCGCTATAATATGTAATTAGGGCATCATTTACACAATGTAATTGAGTTCTTCGCAACCAATCGTGGTTATTTCGCCCCTTGCACATTCTTGCCTTTTACTCATTATTATATCCTATTATTTAGATCTGGAATGCATTAAGCAATGTTATTTATATTTCTTACGTTTAGTATAAATTCAGGTCATTCTGTGAACCTACTATGTAAATACGTTCCAGCTGAAGAAGGCCGAAGGCCGAAACGTCGCCACATTAAAGCTGGAACAGTTAGAAGTTTGCTTCATGTTTCATCGTTTTACACTTACTTAATATTTTCATTGAAGCACTGTATCCTCCGCGGATCCTTCTACTGGGAGCTCATCGTTTGGTTTACCTTTTTACTCTGTTGATATATATATATCAACAGAGTATATATATATATATATATATATCAACAGTGATATATATATATATATATATACATAAAGTGTGACTTGATTTTCGTAGAACAGTGCTCAATACATAGAAGTAGAGCGAAGTATATATTGTGGGAGGAAAAAGACAAGCAAACTACAAGTTCATCCTTACGAGCCTGTTTCGTGGTCGCCCACTCATCACGGGATTTAATGAGAATAAACTTTACCATTGCTTATATACAATATAATTTGCATGATCTAACTAGTCTAATTTATGCAGCGCGAAATTGACAGTTTAGTTGTTGCGTAGGAGGGCTTTGCTTCTGTGGCGGCATGAAGACACGAGTTCATTACGTTTGTTTAGTGTTGATAGTTCGGGCCGGCAGATGATTAGGAATTTTTCTTTGAGGCAGAGGTTACATCTTTTAGTTGAGCTGTTATACGGTGAGTGCGATGAGAGAATGCGCCAGGAAATAAAGTGATCGATGTTGTTGTCTTTGAGGGTCCAGATGTGCTTGCTGAGTTCGGTAGAGTTTCTGTGTTTAGCGTGGCGGAATGATGCGGTGTGGTTTCTGTATCTTGTTTTGAAGTCATTCTCTGTGAGTCCGATGTACGTTTCTGTCGTGTTGTTGTCTTTGCGTGTAACGGAGGCTTGGTAGATTACTGATGGTTGCAGGCAGTTTCCGTCGAGCGGGCATGTGTTCTTAAACCTATTTTAGAAGTGTCCGTCGCCCGAAGCGAATAATTCCGCCAAAAAATTACCACCAGTCTCGATTCCTCCAGAAAATCAAAGCAGAGATGTTGCAGTTCCATTTCCATTCACTCGATTCCCAATTCCTCCCACAGATCTTTCACTAGCGATGCTTTTATCTCCAGATCGATCGGCTTTCCAATTTCGAATTTGGCTCGTTGAAACAGTTGTGGACCCGTGCACCGATCGCACTGTATGTCGGGTAACAAAAATAAGCCCAGCGAGGATAGCCAGCGGCCTGCAGTCGACAAACAAACCAGTTAGCTCCACTGGTCGGCAAGCCGCTGGCTACCCTCGCCGGGCTTATTTTTGTTACCCGACATACTGTGCGATCGGCGAACTGGTCCACAACTGTTTCAACGAGTCTTTTCTTAAGCAGTTGAACACCAAAATAGCGCTAACTCGCCGAAAACGCTTCAAAATGACCTGAGACGCTGGCAATCAACAAAGAAAACAACAAGGTAATAAGGTAAGTCCATTTTATTTCAAAACAAGACAATTTTTTTCTCTCTTTTAAGGCAAACCGATAACATCGCAGACAAACCTTTATAAATATGAAACGTTGCGCAACATTGTAAGAGTCACGTCCGTTTTTCTAGTAGTGAGCTTGGGCTGCCTGTGATCGAATGTATCCAAAAGCCGAGGGCTCCTTCTTCGACAAGACTTGATTATTTCAGGGCAAGCTAAAGATCATTTAAATAAGGAAGCCACCAAAACTTTGTACAACATATTAATAAAAAAAACAAAACAAAAAAAACCGCCAGATTAATAACGACGACTGCAAGGAGTTACAGAGCCAAGGTGAAGAAGCCAGACCAGCATTGTGTCAAGCTTGTTACAAGCCCGAAATCAATTGAGGCGAGCAGAAGAGCTGGCGAAGGAAAAACAGCGGTCGTTGTCGACGGGGAAACGAATACAGTTTTTCTTTCCTGACCTCCACCGTTTTTTCCTCATCAACGTCTTCGCTTGTTTCACTGACCTAAAGCCTAACACAGGCTACTTCGTATATAAAACAATAGTATTCACCAGATTTCTAACGTTACTTTGTCAAAACTGTTCGATAACAAAGCAGCGAAAAGAGAATTTCCAGCCACAATCGCATGAAACACCGAACTCAATCAAAGGGCTGAAATCGAATCACATATGTAAAACGAGATTGTAAAAATATCATCTCCCAAAGCAATCTACATTTCTCTGCCAGTAATCGAACACTTTCTTATTTTCCTGAACTCACGAGTCGCTGAAAGAAGTTATGTGCAAGCCTGAAATGATGAAAAATTTTAAATAAATTCTTGCGTAGTTCAACTACGCAAGAATTTACTTCAATTTTAGTACTTTACCTAAAAGTAGTACCACTGCTCAATATTGAGAAAACCTTCATTCAGTAAAGTAACTCTTTCTCGTGATCTCCAGGTCCCACTTGTGGCTCGTAACAGAGGCTGTCAGATTAGTTCTATGGATAGGGCCCTCCAGCACAGCCCCCTAAAATAGCCCCTCGGATAGGGCCCTCAAGAGCAGCACAAGAAACTCTTTTGTGTTTTTATACTAAAATAACTTTTTATAACTAATTTTTTTCCTGCATTGGATCAACTTTACTCGCCATTGAGAGGAATTGGTTGGCCGGTTTCATATCTCCTGGATATTGAGGTTCTTTCATATGTAAAATCTCTTCTACTTGTTATCAGTCACAGTTTTGCTCAACTCATTTGTAAACACGTTAATTTTATTCACCCGACGTGTTGTTTTGACTCAATTTCCGGCACAGAGGGTACCAATGCCGCTCCTTTTTCAAGTTAATTTGTTATTCTACCGCGAAAAAGTTGAATTTAATTTTACTGATGTAAGAAAAAGAAAAACTTTTTCTTTTAAAGCATAATCGCTACGTTGATACACCAGGTTACCATGCTGAGAGTGCTATCTTAAAATGTAAAAAGAAAAAAGGAACTCGTAGGCCTTTCCGAGCTGCTATCAAATCACTGGTTCAAATACTTTCAGGTGACCCCGGAAGTTCTGTTCTCTCTCACATGCAATCTCAAAGGGTTATATCAGTGTAATACCAGGGTGGGGTTAATACGGCTTTTATCTTCTTGAGTTTTGCAAATGAGGATTAGTAGAAGGAGTCTTAAGCATGCAGCAAGCGGTAATTAACATGCAACATGAACAATTAATTGGCATGTTAAATAATTTAAATTAGGTTTCCAACTCCACTTCTTGCCAAAATCCTCGATCAAAGCAACGATTAGGTCGATATAACTCGTCCAGAGTATAACGTTTTCTTGTCGAATATCGAGCCGTTGTTGTCTTTATATCTGATAATTCCAATGACTCCCTGAAAGAAATGGTCACAGCAAGCTTTATCAATGACCTTGTCTTGCTGAATGCGCATGAGCCGTGAGCACAACGTGAACGGAAGAGTGGTATTGTAAATAACCTGTTAATTCAGCGTCTGGACAGTGTAAAAACGAGTCCTTATTTGAAAAAACGAGCGTCATCTAAAACATTTGTCTCTAATTTTTCGAGTACTTCACATCACGTCCGTTTTAATCTTCTTCATCTTAAGCCACTCTAGTGCCTTCCTGGTTTACTGTAACCTCCTTTGTGTTTCGTTTTATTTCGTTTTCTTTTCTTTTCTTTTTATCATGCCGAGCTGATAAAGAAATTAAATGCAGCACAGAAAACGACTCAAAGATGCTGCTCTTTAGTTCTTCGTTAGGTAGCCTTGCAAGGCCTGACAGAACACTAAAGTTTTAGTCTTGCCACGCAGTCTCTTTCTCTCATGTGATCTTCACATTTCATAGATCCGCGCATTCTACATTTTGACTCTTTTTGCTTTTCTTGGACAAAAACAATTGAGTGCGAATGAGAGACACGACTTTATTTTCAGGATCTTGTCAACCTCCAGTCTGCAAGCTCCGCATTGCACTTGTGAATACACGCGATAAACATAAATCCACGCGCGCATACCATTGGGGTGTGATTAATTATCAGATTAGCTTTAAATGTCTGCCTCTCTTGCTTCTAGAAAAACCGTTACCACAACGATAAGCCAAAATAGAGAAGCAAAAATTGGTAGATCTCTAGGTGATAAGTAAATATGAATGGTCACTGAAGTTTCCAGAACATGAACGACATTGTGGTGTTCTATTAATGGAAAAATGACACAAAACGAAAATAAGTAGCCAGGTTTCCATCCTAGAAAGACTCTCACCTGGCAATTTCTTTAGATTCTGTTCCTTTTGAAAGCTTTTCCCCTGAAATGGTGTCTTTTGTTTTATTTGTAATTTTTTCGTTTCTTTTGGAGGCCACAAAGTTTCTAATTATTTCAGGACTGCGTGATCTTGAGCTCGCACAATGTTTAGGATCAGGGTCCTCAATGTCTATTTGTTTTGGATTAGCATGAGAAGGCACTCCCTCAACTTGTCCTGTGGCGTCCTGAATCTCCAGAAGACGCAACTAACGGCGTATAAAGCGAGGAACACAAGCACACAGGCAGCAATCACAATTATCACGGTTGTCCGGTCTACGGCACCTGAAGAGAAAGGTTCGGAGGAAAAAAATTACGATGAGTTTGAAACTTCTGTAGAAAAATATTGAGACATGCCCCTTTCGTCTGCAAATATCCTCGCTTTCAAGATGAAGCCAAGGGCAAAAAATCACTTATATTCAACAATTATTCGCCTCAGGTTCGGTGAATATCGTCGAATAATTCCCGAGACGAAGTTGAGGGGATTATTCGACAATGTTCACCGAACCTGAGGCGAATAATTGTTTTAGTATAACTTCAGAGCTTAACAACAGAGAAATGTCTAAAATCATAACATTTTAGTAACATTTATTAACATTTTATTTTAACATTTTATATAAACCGGGTGGAGCGGTTTATATAGCGTCATATAAGGAACCGCTCGACCAATCAGATTGCTTGAAACTCTTTGCTTAGCTCTGAAATTATACTATTATTGTTATTATATTATTGTTAGTGTTTATATATCATTTATTTGGTTATAATTTTATTGCATTCATATCGGATGCGATGCGTTGATACGCGTTATCAATTAATAAAGTAGAAGTAGAACGAAAGGAAAAGCAAGGATAAAGAGTGTCATTTGCATTGATCAACCTAAATTTTTTTGCTGTAAATATCACAATCAAGCTTTTGTCCTTCAAAACTCGCGAACCGCCTTTCGGAAAGACCAACACATTTTGAGGAGTGTTCAACGTCATTGAACAAACGACAACTTAATGTTGTGCTCGAGAAGTTTTCTTTTGACTCAAAGGTTGAAAAACGATTGGACTCGACGGTCGAATGGAAGCTCTCCACGGATGAACAGTCATTTGAGTTTGCAGTTCAATGGTTAGCTTCAACGAGCGATTCACATTTTGAATCTATGATTGCAAGCTTTTCTTTCACTCCAACTGGCAAATGTGACTCAATGATCGAATTATTTACCTCAACGGGCAGAGATTTTGACTCAACGATCAAATTTAACGCTTCAACGGCCGAAGAATACTGTGAATGATTTGCCTGTGGTATCGAAGTCGCTTTCGACCTACAGTAGGTTGCCCTCACACCTTCCTCTCTTTTCTCCCGAGGCCAGCAAGCTGCAGTCGGAAATTTACTCCGAATGGAAGCATTTTTGCCCAAAACTTCACTGCTGCTGAATGCACTGAGAAAAAAAAACGTTCTCCATGAAGTAGGACTTGATCTATATCTAGGCATCTCCGTTAATTCGCGAATCGGCAAAATTGCTCACATAACAGAGCAGCCAAACACATAAAAATCTCTTGTCTTCCTCGCGAGTCATCCCTAAACCGTTCATGACCTTGATTTATACTTCCACAAGCAATTAAAGACAATTAAAAACTCACCTCGTTTATCGTGTCCTT